GTTCTATATGACGTTAAAGGATGAGAATGCGTTTGATTATAATGCTATGGTTTATTTTCTGCTGAACAAAAAAGATGTTACTCTACACCCTGTCCTCCTCTAAAAGCTAGACAATACATTTAATTGATAAAAAAAGTTTTAAAATACTGTATAAACATTACATTATTTAAAAAAAAACAAAAAAACTGTGAGACTCACTGCCTGGACACGCTTTTGACGAAATATGAATATAGATTTAGTACAGATAAGAAAATAGCACTCAAATGCTAAAAGGTTATGCGCGGGTGAAAACACCTCTCAGGTGGATTAAACAGCACAAACACCTGGCAGGGCAACCCATGTAACACTGCTGATCAGCTTTGATCCATTTAATAAAGTTCTCTCCTGCTTTGCACAGCTTATGGCAAGCACTTTTCACTCTGCCACCTTTCAAATGTGTGACACAAACCAAACTAATCGATAATGAAATTCATAATTATATTTTTACTATAGATTATTTGTTGCGGCCCTACTGTATAATCTTCTGTGGAATTTTCACATTTCATTTTAATTTTTAAAATAACCATTCAACTGCAGCTAACGAAAGCCATACAATCAAAAATGCTTAATGTCACAAAAGCAAACAAAAAATACTACAGTACGTGATGACAATTAAACAGTAATTAGGGCAAGCTGATGGACAAAAATAAAAGCAAGCTGTTGAATGAGTGTGCTCCTGTTTCACTGCATGAAAAGTGGGATTTTCGTCAGTAAGCGGCACTGTAGATTGTCGTGGAAGTTCAGGTTTACGACTGCACACGGCAATTTACAGGTAACACTCAAAACTGCTGTGAATTGCCGGAAATTGACGTGGGCCTTGCTTGGCAGTTGTCCCCCCATTGTCCCCCCTTCTCCTAAATCTAGAGGAGGCTTTGACATGTAAATGAAAATGCTGTGAGCTATACACATGCAAATAAGGGTAGGGGAGTTTCACCCCAGGTAACATTTTTCTGAAAGGTATAACTTCATTCTAAGACAAGATCAGGCTCAGTATAACCTAATTGCTGTGTTTTTTTGTTTTTTGTTTTTTTTAACATTGCACATAATGCACAACAATTACAACAATAACATGACATCCAAAAAGATAACAATCAACAAATAATAATTTCACAATAAATAAGAAACAAATAAAAATAGGACAGAATTGAACAAATGAAATAAAAACAGGAAAGGGACTATCTCTATTGTGTATAATATTATGATTTAAGAGAAAGTTAGAAACCAGTAATTTGTACTATTTAAAGAAAGAAAATTAGCTTCAATTAGCTTCAATATTCTTTAGCAAATACAATTGTATCACTACATTTTTATCGATACATTTGAGAGACAGAATATACTGAAAACTAAAAATTAGACCAAAAAAAAAAAAAAACTTCAAACAAGGTTTAGAATTATTCATTTTACTCTTATAAATATGAAATTTTCCTAATAAAATTATAAGATTCATCATAACATTTACGGAAGCAGTTTTCAAAATATATGATAACATCTTTGATGTTAATTCACAGTTATAAACAGATGTTTTTTGTTTTTGTTTTTTACAATTTTTTTGACTGGTTTATTTAATTTAAGTAACCTAATAAAGTTATTTATTTATGCATATATGTATTTTTACATTTCATGGTAGCCTATTTAGGTATATCCACCTTATTCCTAATTTAAAATGAACTAACAGCAGCAGAAAAGTCAAAGGACAGCCTTTCAACCTGAGTCAAAAACCAGTGAACGTAACTCTGATTGGCTGAGGCAGCATATCGTCATAATCCAACCTGTAACGTCAGCCACTCTGATTGGCTGAGGCAACGTGCCAGGCATGTGGCGTGTTTTTTTAAGCAGAAAGTAACTACACAGATATTCAGCCTGCTTCGCCGTCATGATCGCTGGGGAACCCATCTTTTCCTCTAAATTGAAGGTAAGTTCGTCCAGCTTAGTGAATTCTATGTCCATGTCTACTTATAGTTTTTGGTAGTTTAGCGTTTTTGTCTTAAACTTCACAAATCGGCTGTGATTACTGCCGCGAATGTCCAAGGGTGTTAACCTAACGGAACAGTTTTTTGTTTTGCGTTAGCTTGCTGCTCTTAATTCTTTTTTTGTTTCATTTCAATTTGAACAAATTTGGGACACTAAACTGTACGTTGGGTTGCACGTTGTTATCTGGCTGCAAGTTAGCTACCATTCTTTGATAGTAATCAAACTAACTCATTTACTCTGAATATCGTCAGAAATTATGAAAAAATAATAAGTGCCAGGGTCCTAAAACAAAGCGCGTAATGTGCTTGTATGCTCTAGTGTAGGCTATCCTTGTTTGTAAAATTGCATCACTTTGTGTGATGAGTGAAATCTTCAGATGTTTGTGATTTGTTTTGTCTCTCAGGGGCTGTTAGGAGTGAGGTGTCCTTCGCTGATGGGAGAAAAAACACCTAAATAAGGTAACGTTACGTGTTGTGATCTCATCCTCTTTTCTTTTGAACAGACCCCAGTCAAATAAAAAGTAAAACTAAACTAATTTGGATTAACGTCTGTGTTTATAGATGACTTTGAGCGTGAGACAGTGGTGAAAACGCCAAAGAGAACTGGAACATGGCATGTTATATTCAGTTATAAATGTTTGACCAAGTTTTTAAATATCTTATAAATCTGTTCAGTTTCATCATTTGATAATAACTTTTTAAAACACATTTTTTTGTGGTATAGATGCAGTGACTGAGACTGGGAGATGCAGTGACTGAAACCTGGTGGTAAGTATTGATCTATTGGCAGTGGAGAAGACACTTTTAATAGACACCTTCTCTCTTGTGAGCTAGCAAACTTTGTTATTCTAATTAGAGCATTGTAAACATCACCAAATGTGTTCGTTTATTTCAGTGTTCCAGAAAAAGGTCCTGAAACTACTGGTCGACATCCGCCATCGCCTGAAGGAAACCAGGTAGTGGATGCAGAAGAAACATATTTTTGCTTACAAATGTGGGGACTTGGGGCAGATTGCCTTTGCATACATCTAAATCATTTGTCTTTTTCAACTTTGCAGAAGGGGTCATGAAATTCGGTTCCACAGCCACTGAGGTGTATGTACATCAAGGTGAACCTCAAGCACGCGTCGCAAAGACTTAAATTCACTTCGCCCTGATGAGCCAAGCCTACAGGACTTGAATTAAGAGTTTTAAAGGGATAGTTCACTTTGAAATTATTTTTTGAAATGTTTTGGCTTACGTCAAGGGCATCAGTCAGTCATATAATGGAAGTCTATGGGGATCTCTTAAAAGAGCATGCACAGAGAAGTACAAATTAAACATGATTTAATGAATCATAACTGTAAGTACACCTTGATGGCTTAAGATACGAGACGAGCGGTTTGTGTGAGAAAATGAACAGTGTGTGTGTGTGTATATATATATATGATCTGCGCATGCGGTGGAAACCGCCAGAAGCGATCTTGCACTGGTACGTCACTCATTGTTTACACAGATTTCGGAAGTTTTACTGTGAAGATCTAAACATATTAAGATGTATTGCATTTTGTGTATATCTAAATATATATATATATATATATATATATATATATATATATATATATACACACACACATTTATACAATATAAATACTGTTTGTTTTCTTTCCCAAAACGCTCATTTCGTGTCTTAGTCAATCATTGTGTACTTAATTTATGAGTCATTAAATCATGTTTAATTTGGTCTTCTTTGTGCATGCTCTTTGAGGTGGTGACCATAGACCTGCATTATATGACTGACAGACAACAACAGTTTGACCTAAAAATATCAAAATTGAAAATACTGTGGAAACAAAACCACCTGCATCTTGGATGCCCTTGAGATAAGATAAAACATATCAAAAATTTATTTCAAAGTGAACCATACCTTTAAATTACATCCTTATTATTCGTTCATAATTCTGGCTCCACTGTACATTGTGTTTGATATATCTGGTGCCCAATTCTGATGCCATTCAGGGCAATTTATTTTTGAATAGAGATGCAATATATTATTGATTTATTTGTATAACTGTAGTGCTGTATGTATGTATGTTGTCCCATGTTTCCAGAGGGTGGAGGACATGTTTTCTGTGCTTTGAAATATGTTCTCCTATGCTGTGTACATAGTTTTGTGTTTGTTCTAATAAAGCTATTTCTTTGAATAAACAGTATGTGGCAAATGTTCCTTTCCTCAATAAATTCATGTCCTTGATGGTAATAATAATTTAGTCCATAGGATAACAATGACATGAATAAACAACATAATAGCATATCATATGAATATATATATATATATATATGATTATTATTATTATAATTTTATGTCGGCTGACCAATAGTAACAGATCTGCCAACCAATCACGAGTGATTTTCTTGTTTAAATGTAGTGAATTTCAACCAATACTGAGTGAGGAAATTCAAGCCATTCTCTGGCAAGGCGCGCGCAGTGCTGCTATTCATATGCTAATTAGGGCCATTCGCACCTCCGCGAGCGCTGCATGCATACGTCATGGTTCGTTTCCGTCAATATGTGGCACAGTGGAACGCGACGTTCACAGTCTGTAAATTGTCGTTAACTGCCGAAAATTAGGGAGATTTTCGGCAGTTTACGGGGACGAAAATCCCACTTTTCATGCAGTGTTTGTCTAGGTGGATATAATTGACCCTCACAGGAGTCTAATGGAAAAACATATAGATATGCAAAATGTTGCATGGGGTATTGGTCGTTATGCAACCATGGCGAAGACTTGTGTTTGTTTCTATGCGCGCCTTTGTAAAGAGGCTGAATAGAATGCAGTGCGATGAGATTTTATAATGTCTCCAGATGGTTGATCTGTATTTGAACAATTCCCAAATGAGAGGCAGTTCTAGAAACATAGTGATGTGAAAGGGAACAAAAGGTGAGTTCAATCTTAAACGTCTTCTATGTTATTAGTTCAGATGGATATTACTAAAAAACAAGTGTCCTACCTGCTCTGCTCATTTCTAAAATCTCCTCCTGGGCAGCGGGAGCACAATGGTCACTTTGTGGACTGTGGTGGGGTGAGTTCATGGTGGACTTACAGTAGTTAGGTGAGCCCAGCTGGGGGGCACGGGGAATATGCTTGTTCTTTTTCTTTGGTAGCTTCTGCTTAGCCATGGCTAGAGAGTAGTACATCCCAAAGTTATTGACAATGACAGGCACAGGCATGGCGATGGTTAGCACACCTGCCAGAGCACACAATGCACCCACCAACATGCCTGACCAAGTCTGAGGATACATGTCTCCATAGCCCAACGTGGTCATAGTCACAACTGCCCACCAGAAGCCAATTGGGATGTTTTTGAAGTGGGTGTGATCGCTGGCACGCGGGTCATTGGGATTGGCACCGATTCGCTCGGCGTAGTAGATCATGGTGGCGAAGATCAGCACTCCAAGAGCAAGAAAGATGATAAGCAGGAGGAACTCATTAGTGCTGGCGCGGAGAGTGTGTCCCAGTACGCGCAGGCCCACGAAGTGTCGCGTCAGCTTGAAGATTCGGAGGATCCGAACGAATCGCACCACTCTGAGGAAACCTAGAACGTCCTTTGCTTCTGAACCAGAAAGCCCACTCAGGCCTACCTCCAGGTAAAATGGCAGGATGGCCACAAAGTCTATGATGTTTAGGGTGTTTTTGATGAATTTCATTTTGTCCGGACAGAAGGTGACACGCATGAGGAACTCAAAGGTGAACCACACCACACACACTCCCTCGATGTAAGTTAGGTAGACCACTGTCTCTGTCTCCAGGTGAAACTTGGTGGTGTTGTCGAGAGCGTTAAAAAATGTGCGATTAACGATGGGGTTGAAGGCCTCGTGTGTCTCCAGGCAGAATGTGGTTATGGACACCAGTATGAAGAAAAGCGAGGCAAATGCCACCCACTGCGGAAGAGAGAGAGAGAGAGAGAGAAACAACGGATAAAAAATGAGAAGGGAAAAACACAATGTTGATTTAAAAATTATTTTGTTTGCATCAAAAAATAACTTTCTAATGAGGCAGGCGTGTACACAATACCTTCACTGGTTGTGACCACTGTCAGTGATTATCTAAGTGATTTGAATAGCTGTTTTATTTTTTTAGCCTAGAGCTGATTTAGACATATTAGTCAAATGTGTCTGATGACACTACCAAAGCGATCACATCATTATCAACATAGTGCAGCTGATTGTTTACTATGGCATCAGCGGCCAATGAGCTTGCTGCTCAATATTCAAATACTTGCCATTGTTTAATGTTAACAGTCTGCAGCGCGCTTTCAGAAACCCTCCAGCTCCACCTGATCTGTATACGGGGGTTATTTCATGTACTGTATGTCTTACATGCTCACAGCAGCAATGTCTTTTAATGTGAATTGGCAGTAGCAAGTCTTTGTACTTTCTTCACAGCAGCAGCAATAATCATTATCAGCAGCAGCAGCAGTGTAGCTGATCTATTCCACCAAGACCAAATACATTAACATTGCCACATCCATTATCATGCCAATTTCACCAAGAGTTCATGGCATTAAATAATATTTAGTCCCCAGCCCAGTCTGTGTGTTTGTTGATAGAAATGTTAGCCAGAAAACACATTCCAACGCTGTGCCACTGTGATTTTCATATACAAGTTGGAAACAATGTAAAACCAGTGATGATTCAACTAAGCTAGCTGTGATTTCAGGAGATAGGGGCTTTCAAAGATGCTTTAGAAGTGTTGTGATGAGCACAATGAAGGAACAATAAAGAAACAAACTCCGTCCGCAGCTCATGGGAACTGAATCCCTTTAATTTTCTCTCACACCCGCTCGGTTGTTCACTCAATATATTATACAGCAATATGCCATGCCATGTCATTGTTTCTTTGTTTTATTCAATCTTTTTGCCCTAATAGTCTAGTACCTCAGCTAAAAAAATATGGACTGTTATTCCAATACCCTTCCCTGAAATGATGGTGAACTGAGCTTACAAAATGCTATTATAAACCGTATATTGCATTAGTTTTTTATGCCCAAATAAATTTCTCAGTCATTAAAGGAAATTTTGACCATGACAATTTGATTTTTACTGTTAAAAATTACCTGAAAGAATATATCCTCAAGCTGCCTTCTCAAAAAATGTTTCATTTTCACCGCATATCAATTATATATATATTTGAAGCACAATGAGTTCTCCGCCTGTTAGCGTGTCCTTTCATTTTTTTTTTTTTACAGGTGAGAAGAATAGTCCGCATAACATGGCCTTGTGCAAACCTCCTACAGCAAGTCCCACGCATAAAGTCTTACACCAAGACCACATGCTTGAGCAACACGTCCAATCTCAGAGGTAAAACACAATGCAGCAATACCACAGCTCAGCAGAAGGATCTCAGTGACAGGTGTAATAGTCCAGTGCACAGCAGCAGACAAAAATAAGAGGCAAAACTATAGCCCTAATAATGACCTTTGACCCCTGATTTACCTTAGCCAAGTAACAAAGCTCAATCTTATGTTGGACATGTTTTCTAAAAAAATTAATTTGAATTTGCTTGCATTATAAATTAGTCCATAATGTCATTGGTAATTTCACACATCTGGCTGTAGTTTCCATGAAATTAAGTGAATTTTAATAATCAATATATATTTTATATATCATTTTATTTGAAGAAATTATTCTTTTTATTTGCCATGGACAAATATCTATCTTAAATAAATGTCGTTCTATTTATCAAAGATAAGAAAAATAAGAAAAATAAAACCTTCACATAATCAAATCACAATTTCTGAATTTGTCATTTAAAGTTATAATTCATCAACACAATGCCCATTAAAACATTACCAAATCAATTTCTGTAGTTGGCTGAATCCCAATGACCAGTTCATGTCCATGCTGAATGGCTTTGTCGAGGCTCAATTCTTGCACCACTCCTATTCAACCTGTACACTACAGCCCCATTGACTCCCTGCATTGATGACGTAAACAGTTGGATGTGCCAAAACGTTCATCAGCTAAACAAAGACAAAACTAAAGTCATTGCATTTGGAAACAAAGATGAAGTTCTCAAGGTGAATGCATAACTTCACTCCAGGGGTCAAACAGAAACAACAGAAATCTTGGTGTGTCTCTAGTCAGACCTTAGTTTCAGTGGTCATGTCAAACTAAGCAATAACTAAATCAGCATACTATCATCTGAAAAATATTTTAAGAATTAGATGCTTTGTTTCCATTCAAGACTTAGACAAACTTGTGCATGCTTTTATCACCAGCAAGGTGGATTATTGTAACGGACTCCTCCTCACTGGCCTTCCTAAAAAGACCATGAGACAGTTGCAGCTCATACAGAAGAACGCTGCTGCCACTATTCTGAGCAGGACCAGAAAATGGAGATGGACATCACTGCAGAACATGAAATCCGAACCTTACATATACCTAAACCTACCCATCTCCACCCCTTGCTGGTATAAATCGTTCAATGGGCAAGGGCCTCAATATATCGCAGATATGCTCACTGAATATAAACCCATCACTCAGATCATTAGGATCACATCAGCTAGAAATACCAAGGGTTCACTCAAAGCATGGAGAGTCTGCTTTTAGCTATTATGGCAGTCACAGCTGGAACCAGCTTTCAGGAGATCAGATGTGCTCCTACAGTAGTCACATTCAAATCTAGACTCAAAACACATCTGTTTAGCTGTGCATTTACTGAATGAGCGCTGTGCCACTGTTCGTCCGACTGTTTGTACTGTATTTTATTTATTATTTTAAACTGATTTAATTTTTCTTATTTATTTTGATTATTTTAATTTCCTCCATCTAAAGCACTTTGAATTACCATTGTGAATGAAATGTCCTATATAAATAAACTTGCCTTGCCTTGCCTTTGTCAGCACAATTGTTTACCCGTGACATTGATTATTTTCTCCTTATTCAAACAGATGAATTACCCCTGTTGGACTGTTTAGTTTGAGAATCATGTTACTCCACTGACTGTCATCAAAAGAATAAAGACTAGTTATTTGAAACTCTCCCCTCCCGGTCAGTTGCTCTAAAAAAAAAAAAAAAAATCACACAATGAACAGATTGTGTCTTATTAAAATGCTGAACACTACAGTACGTTGAACACTCAGGGCCAGATGTACGTACATTTGCGAACGCAGTGTTAATAGCACCATGGCCAAGACGCAGAAAGTGCTTGATGTAAAACTGCGGTGTGCGTGTTATGTATCCAACCTGCAGTTAGCTACCGTAAGCTATAGTGGGTGGGGATCCATTCATTGTGTTTTAAATGGGCCTCCAATCACTGCTGATGCTATGACTGTTTGAAATGATCCTGTTATTGGCATGTGAATGCCAATAATTGTAATTTATAGCGAGGAGTTTAACAACTACTGGAATGGAATGTGAATGCTGAGTCAGAGATTTGATTTCCTCTAAGATTTCTTCCGGTAACTGTAATATTGCGTAGCTGCTTAATCTGTAACGTTTAATGATTTTGTTTTCACTCAACTGAAAAAGTGTGATTCTTGTGGCAAAAGTCTTTTCAGCTCGTCTCTTTAGCCTATGTCTTACTCGGATTACTGCTGCCATTTCACCAGGAGGCATATGCCAGGAAATGCTTCTTAAATTACACCTGCTTTTAAGAGGCAGAGAATTTTCAGCGCAAAATAGAGGCACGCTTTCACCGGCTTTTTCTGTACACAACGCAATACATAATAAGGCGCAGTTTTTAAGGCGTTTCCCCTCCCATCTCTACTGTATGTGAGACTCCCACTTTCCCCTTGACCATCCCATGAATGCATGCACGACACGAAAAGAGCATTTTGCCATTTTCAGTTCCCACAACAGGCAGTCTCAGTCTTTCATTCCGGTGCATCCCATTTGTACATACTTCGTCATGGTTTTATGCGCACTTTGCGAAACAAATACGCCTGAAGTGGGCGCAAAAGCATTAGTACATCTGGCCCTCTGAGTGCATTTTTTATTTTTACATATAAAATGTGAACTTCTTAAAAGGTAACTAAACTCATGGTCAGAGCCTGACTCCACCCACTGGCAATATTTGAAAAATGCTGTAAAAATGGGCAGAGCCCAGTGGAGGGGGGGCATGCATCTGAGACCCATCTTTCTGAAGGCAAGGGCGTGGTTAGCTGGTACTCTCTGATATCACAGAGTACCACAACTTCCAATAGGAAAATGCATCTGCAGTAGCCACCGTTCAACCTGAAGAGGGCAACACTCAGACGTTTTTATACCATATATTGTAGAATTAAAACCCTTTAAACCCAAATTTAAAAAAAAAAACCACATACTATCAATGAACAACATTAAAAATGTCCCAGTATTACAGATCATTAACTAAAAAAAGTTGTTTTAGGGTTTTGTTACCCTTTAAGTTTCCCTTCATTCAGGCAAATGGCAGAGTTGTTGTTTTCTTCAGTAAAAAAAAAAAAAAACATTCAGCCCACATGAACCAAGCTGTTAATTTATTGCTAATAAATATGTAAGTTAAAAGCACTTAAATAAACATACATTGGAGTAATACAATTAAGTATCACATTCAGATTTTGCAGACAAAGAAGATGTGCATAAAAGATTAGATGAAAAGTGCAAAAGATCAAAAGTTTTTCTGCAGCACTGCATGGCAAAATGGTGAGGGTGCAAGAGGAAGAGACAGAGTGAAAGAGAAGGAAAGAGGCTCATTCAAGTGTCTCAGAAATAGCACAAAATCCTCCCCCTTCTCCCATCACCTCTTACTCTCATTCTCTGGTTATACCTCTCTTCTGAAGATGAAAGCTTGTCACGTTCTCTTATGTAACCAAACACTGCCTAACACAGTGCACCCACATTTGGGACTACGACTGTATTCGTATATTCATGTGTTTTGCGTCTGTGGGGAGGGGCCAGGCTATTGGGTTTTTCGTTTATGGCTGTGAGTTTTGCGGCTGCTGTGCTTTCCGTTTTGGACAATAATGCCCCACAGGGGCTTGATAGAAAAGACAGTTGGGGATTCCGGATTAATTCCTGCCTGTTTATGGCCGTCTATTAATTATAAAGGAGCTGGTGGCAAAGCTGGTTTCTTTCTACATACGTGACTGTTTACATATGTGACTGTTTCCATTTGCCGTTCCATCTTTTCTGGCTATTTTATTATTAAAATATACAATACATATTCTGAGTAAATGAACAGTGTTCCAAGAGGGTTTACAGGACACCAACATCACTGGGACTTTTTTAGTCCTTTCTCCTTTCATCAGAAATCGCATACTAGGTACTGTGTGTAGTATGAATGTAATGCACAGAGATAGATAGCCTACATGCCTGGATGTCGCACTTTAAATCCTACCAGTTGGCTTTCAGCATGCACTTATTATCAATTCATCAAACATACTTTTTTAATGTTGGGGCTTTCTGAAGCCCCCATTAATTCCTGAAGCTCATTAAAGG